GTAATGCAACGCGTACTAATACAACGTGTGGATATCCAACGCGTAGTAATCTAGCGCGTGCATATTCTACGCGTAGTAATCCAACGCGTAATAATGCAACGCATGGTAATTCTAAGAGTAGGAATCTAATGCGTGGTAATCTAACGCGTAGTAATACAACGTGTGGTAATGCAACGCGTGGTAATCCTACGCGTAGTAATCCAATGCGTAGTAATCCAACATGTACTAATACAGCATGTGGATATCTAACGCGTAGTAATCTAGCGCGTGCATATTCTACGCGTAGTAATCCAACGCGTGGTAATCCAACGCGTAGTAATTCTAAGAGTAGGAATCTAATGCGTGGTAATCTAACGCGTAGTAATACAACGTGTGGTAATGCAACGCGTGGTAATCCTACGCGTAGTAATTCAATGCGTAGTAATCCAACGCGTACTAATGCAGCGTGTGGATATCCAATGCGTAGTAATCTAGCGCGTGTATATTCTACGCGTAGTAATCCAACGCGTAATAATGTAACGCGTGGTAATTCTAAGTGTAGGAATCTAATGCATAGTAATCTAACGCGTAGTAATCCAGCATGTGGATATCCAACGCGTAGTAATCCAACGCGCGGATATTCGACGCGTAGTAGTCCAACGCGTAATAATCCTCGCGCTCTGATTGGTCCGTGTTTTTCCTTAATAATTCAGAAACGAAGCTTCAAATCCCATTTTTGCAAAGGGAAATCTTATTCAGAATCACGTCAACTACCCCCCATTTCAAGGACTACTAGTTGTGAGACAGCCTATATCCAAATGCGCATAAAATCATAAAACTGGTTATTAATACATAAAGTGCGAAACTTCGAACCTGCACGTACAGCCTTTGCCCAAATAATGTTCCTTTGCCCACATAAACCGTGCATTATTCGCAGATGCAAATTACGGTTGAAATTTGTAGCCGGTAGCGAGATCGTGAGTTATCCTTTGAAAGAAAGGTATCGTTCTTCGGAACATCATAAACAGCCATTAAAGGGAAAGTTCGGTATCGAGTTTCTCGGTTGCCACGGTTAAGTTGAAATTAAATTATAGCCTTCCTCGGGTACATTTCCATAAACCCCCAAAACAAACGGAGCCGCAAAACCACACGGGAAATCAGCGATTCGTTGGTGATCCTTGGAGCGGAAAACAGCAAGAACGGGGTAGCTTATTTTCGCCTAGAATAACGATTAAACGTGTACGTTGCAGTCGTTATCGAGCTGTTCGTTAACATCAGAAATGTTTGCTCGGGTTTATTGCGATCCGTGAATTATTCTGAAGTTCGTTGTTCGGTTCGGCTCGTGTAAGTTTGAAATCGTGCAACCAGCGCGAAATTATCTGATTGAGAGGTCGAATCCTTCTCTGGATACGCTACCAGCAGAATTACATCCAATTCGATGGGAAGGCTCGATAAACTTTTATGGAGTGTACAATCGTGCCGTTTCGAAACGGAATTTTCCTAGCGTAATACGGGACATTTCCAATTCTATCATTCCCTACGCTATCACCACGGTAATGCAACGCGTAATAATCCAACGCGTAGTAATACAACACGTAGTAATACAGCGTGTGGATATCCAACGCGTAGTAATCTGGCGCGTGCATATTCAACGCGTAGTAATCCAACGCGTAATAATGTAACGCGTGGTAATTCTAAGTGTAGGAATCTAATGCATAGTAATCTAACGCGTAGTAATCCAGCATGTGGATATCCAACGCGTAGTAATCCAGCACGTGAGCATGTGGATATCCAACGCGTAGTAATCCAACGCATGGATATTCGACGCGTAGTAGTCCAACGCGTAATAATCCTCGCGCTCTGATTGGTCCGTGTTTTTCCTTAATAATTCAGAAACGAAGCTTCAAATCCCATTTTTGCAAAGGGAAATCTTATTCAGAATCACGTCAACTACCCCCCATTTCAAGGACTACTAGTTGTGAGACAGCCTATATCCAAATGCGCATAAAATCATAAAACTGGTTATTAATACATAAAGTGCGAAACTTCGAACCTGCACGTACAGCCTTTGCCCAAATAATGTTCCTTTGCCCACATAAACCGTGCATTATTCGCAGATGCAAATTACGGTTGAAATTTGTAGCCGGTAGCGAGATCGTGAGTTATCCTTTGAAAGAAAGGTATCGTTCTTCGGAACATCATAAACAGCCATTAAAGGGAAAGTTCGGTATCGAGTTTCTCGGTTGCCACGGTTAAGTTGAAATTAAATTATAGCCTTCCTCGGGTACATTTCCATAAACCCCCAAAACAAACGGAGCCGCAAAACCACACGGGAAATCAGCGATTCGTTGGTGATCCTTGGAGCGGAAAACAGCAAGAACGGGGTAGCTTATTTTCGCCTAGAATAACGATTAAACGTGTACGTTGCAGTCGTTATCGAGCTGTTCGTTAACATCAGAAATGTTTGCTCGGGTTTATTGCGATCCGTGAATTATTCTGAAGTTCGTTGTTCGGTTCGGCTCGTGTAAGTTTGAAATCGTGCAACCAGCGCGAAATTATCTGATTGAGAGGTCGAATCCTTCTCTGGATACGCTACCAGCAGAATTACATCCAATTCGATGGGAAGGCTCGATAAACTTTTATGGAGTGTACAATCGTGCCGTTTCGAAACGGAATTTTCCTAGCGTAATACGGGACATTTCCAATTCTATCATTCCCTACGCTATCACCACGATCAATTTTCGTTCTGTGCTTAACCTGCTGTTCAATTTCCTTGTTATTGTTGTGTAACGGAATTCCGTTTCTTACATGTAAGATATCGAACGTGGGAATTCGTTTAGAAGATTTCTGAAATGTAACCTCTTCAGGGATAACCACATATGGACGCTGTGTTCGATCATCACACATGCTTACTAAAGGATACATATGCGAATATTACCATTCCATACAAATTCTTACAGGATTCATTTATGTAACAATTACAGATTCGAAACGAGTAGAATTACCAAGAATCTTTGTCTAACCTCAAAAGAAACGTATCATTTGCAGTACCAAAAGTACATTCGTTCCAAGAATCCCGAAAAATAGTACGTTTAATAGAAGTCTAATAAAGTTCATTAAAACGCGTGTTTGTTAGAATCGTGTGATCTTTGATATGTGGTGCAAAGCGTCCAGAATCAAAACCCTTGACATTCGTAGACAAAAGCGTGTATGCAACGAAACCCATCCACGTTCCTGTTATTGAAATGCAATGGCCATCCCCGTCGAATCGATGGGGAGTATAGATGCACATATGTACACGTATGTATTTTACATACATATTCACGCAAACCGCGGTGCTCTTACAACACGTGGAACCTAGTTTCCGGTTGACCAGTGTCTCTCAAACGACCGCTCGTAAATCTTAATAGAATACCAGAATACGCTTCCTGTGTGCTCGCTGTGGTATTATTACGGCACTGCACGTGCCTCCGAATGCCTGTAGGACGATTTAAATCGTCGATTGCATCTCGATCTACTACGTCCAGGAGGCCATCTTAAATTAAGGAGATAGTATGCCTTGCAGGCCTAGATGTATAATTTTCGATGTTTGCTCATGTAATAGAATGAATTAATTCTTTTCTTTTAGTAATTAATTTTAGTGGATTTTATGTACATATTTTGAGATGTACAGGGGGTGTCATAATTAGTGTAGGTTCAATGAGAGGTAGCTGACGTGATACTGAATAAGATTTCCCTTTGCGAAATTGGGGTTTGAAGCTTCGTTTTTGAATTATTAACACGTTGGCTGCCGTGGGGTCACCGGTGACCGACACTCGACTTAGCTACAGTGCCGTGGGGGCCACCGATGACCGGCGACGCGACCAACAGTTAAAATACATAAATAGAGTAAATTTGATACTGATCAAATTTTAAATAATACCATTGTTACTATAATGGTTTGAAGATCCCCATCACAAAAAAATGCATTAAACATGATTATACAACTTACATTATCTGCTGTAAATAATGTTTCAACATAATATGCACCGCACAGTAAAAAATTCATGGCGGCGCCATGGGCAAACCACGTGAAATGCGCGCGGCAGTCAACGTGTTAAAGAGAAACGCAGACCACTCAGAGCGCGAAGGTTACGCATGCGCAGACGCGAGAACGGCAGCTTCGGATAACGCGTAGTTACCCAACGCGTGGTAATCCAACGCGTAGTAATGCAACGTGTGGTAATCCTACGCGTAGTAATCCAATGCGTAGTAATCCAACGCGTACTAATACAGCGTGTGGATATCCAACGCGTAGTAATCTAG